CGGACCTGCCCCTTATCACAGGCTTGCTCCTTCCTCAAAGGAACCCCGTATCTTGTTGGACTAGAGCAATCTCAACTCACCCTCCTGGTTACTCCAGTTCCTGGTATAGTTCTCCCCAGCGCCACACACAAGCACCTTCACAGGCCCAGCAAAGGTCCACAACACTGCCCTCAGCATTAGCATCAAAGGCCAGTTCTGTGGCCCATGAGTGACCCATTACTCAAGAAAAATCAGATCCTACGTGGTGACCACAGCTCCAATACCCAGCCCAGTCAGCCTGAAGCACGTCAGGCACACACCTAGTCAACCTGAAACAAGCTGGGCACACACGAGTGCCCCAGGTCCAGTGGGCTGGAGGACCAGAGGAAGGGAATAAAACCCTATGGAAGGTTTTCTCTCTCTCTCTCTCATTCTCACATGCATTTGCATGCACTTAATCATGGATAAAGAAAAAATGTATTAAAATAGAATTATACTGGAAAATGCTCACACAGAAAGTTCATATCAACACTGAGGCAGAACTAGGCCTTGACCAGCACATTAAAATACAATAAAAAATAGGTACTGATTTCTCATTTTACTAAGAAAGGATTTTTTTAAGTTATAATTTCTAATTCCTATCACCATAATTTCCTAAAGAAAAGATTTTTTTTAAACCAGAGAATTAAAAATAACCATCACTTGGGGCCAGCAGGTGGCAGATTGGTTAAGGCACTGGACTCCCACACTGCTGACTGTGGTTCAAGTCCTGGACCTAGTGGCTTACTTTCTCACTCTCTCGTGCTCTCTCTGGTAAAATTGAAGAATAATAATAGATAAATAAAATAAATAATTATTTAAAAAATAAAATAGCCATCACTTTTTAAACTACACATATTTGGTGTTAGAATAATAATAGCTAATACTCGGGTAGAACTTACTATATGCCAGGTATTGTTCTTTTTTTTATTTATTTTTTTAAAGAATTATTTATTTAATTTTATTTATTCATTCCTTTATTTTAATTTGACCAGAGAGAGACAGAGAGAGAGAAAGTTGGAAAGCAAGCCACCAGGTCCGGGATTTGAACTGTGGTCGGCCATGTGGGAGTGTCTAGCGCCTTAACCACCACACCACCTGCTGGTCCCCTATGCCAGGTATTGTTCTAAAGTCTTTGTTTGTATTAACTTGTTCCGCTCTCAGAATATTCCAGCAAGGTAGATACTAGTAACATCCCAATTTTTTGTATGAGAAATCTGAGTGATAGAGAGGTTAAGTGACTTCTCCAAGGTCATATGACCACCCAGTAGAAAAGCTGAGGTGGGCTTCTAGGCAATCTGACTGTAGACCACCTTGCCATTCCAACAGGTAAAGTATTTTGCCATATTGTCCTTATTTCTCTTATTTCATTCTGGCCCAGAGAATTCTAGTCATTGGTGGGCCCAAGGATCAGCCCTGTGAGCCTCTGACCCAGAGATGGAGTCATGGCTTGGTTAGATTTATAGAGCTTGGTTAGGTTTGCAGAGCACAACAGTGGGTCCTGGCTCTGCAGAGTCCCCTTGTGAAGCACCACCTCATACCAAGCAGGGGGGCAGGCCTGCATGACCAGAGGACTGTGCGCAGGGTATGGAAGCAAGGGTCCCTCCCAGTGGGGTGGAAATGGAGGCATCTAGCTTCAGTTGATTCCACACTGTCTTTCAAAGGTTCATCCCAATGAATCTTTCCCAAAGAATTGCTCTTATCAAGAGCTTCGGCTCCCATCTCTCTGCCAAGCTCCTGACCCATATTTCCAAGCCTATGAGTTCAATCAACTCCTATATGTCCCACAGGCATCTGAAACTCAGTATGACTCATGTCACAGTCATTTTCTTCTTCAAACTTACTCTTGCTACTCAATTCCCTGCCTTGTCATTTATTCACTCAACAAATATTTGTGTAACACCTAATCTACGCTGTGCTTATCTAGTCAGTAGAAATGTGGTGGTGGGTAAAAGAGTCCCTGCCCACATTCTGGCGGGGAAAGATAGATGGCGCACAAATCACTAATTAAATATACATTCGTCAGGCACTAGGAAGAAAAGTAAAGCAGGGCGTAGCTGACACAGCTAAATCCCACAATAGTCATCTCCCCTTGGTCTAATAAACTAATACGTGCTCCTTTTTTTTTTTTTTTTTTTTAATTTTAGCTGAATTCAGGGAAAAGACTAGTCTCCCCTGCAGCCAGATGTGACCAACTTCTGGCCAAAGATATGAAAATCAGAGTGTCTCAAAGTAGCTTCCAGGAGCTTCCCTTAAGTACATTCAGCAATTGGGACCAGCAGATGGCTTAGTGGTTAAGGTGCTGAACTCCCACACATGGCCAGCCACAGTTCCAGTCCTGGACCCAGTGGCCTGGAACTCACACCAGGCATGTGTGTGCATACCCAAGTCCCAAGAGAAGAATGGAGGAGGAGGGATTGTGGTGTGACTATCCCCAAGGGGTGATTTCTCACTTCCTTTCTCTCTGCCTCTGTCTTCCCGACAAGTGTACATACCCTATGGCAAAAATTTCTCTCTAAAAACAAAACAAAGAAAAAAGACACACCAATAGTACAGTTCTAACTCTTTGTCATTCTTCCTCCTCCTTCCAGCTGGCTAAAACCCATTCAGCTCTCTATCTCTCCTGTTCCACATTCACGGATTCAATGCCACAGATTGAAAATAGTTTTTTAAAAATTCATTGTCTCTATACTGAACATGAATAGACTTTTCTTGTCCTGATTCCCTAAACAACACAGTATGAGTATTTACAGTGCTTACATTGTGTTAGGGTTATAAACAACCTAGAGATGATTTAAAGTATACGGGAGGATGTGCATAGTTATCTGCAAAACCATACCCTTTGAAACAAGGGATCTGAGCACCCACAGATTCTGGTGTCCTCGGGAAATTGGCTTTACCCCCCCCACCCCCACCCCCACCCCGTGGACAACAAAGGACAGACAGACTGGTTGGAGACCCCTCAACCATCTTGGACTATGAGATAATATTGGGGATGACAGTCATATAGAACAAAGCAGAAAAATAAAATAGAAGGAGCCTGCTTCCCCGTCACCAAGGTGCTTTATGCCTAACTACGAGGGCTACTTCTGGATTTCTAAAACTTAAGTGAAAAGGAAAATTTCGATATTCTTACCCATTTGTCATTATTGGGTTCCTGCCAGTCAAATCTAATTCTGATACACAGGTTGAACAAGTAAAGGGTAGGAGTGCCATTTCAGACAGGATGGACAGAATATCCTCTTCAAGGATGGGACATTTGAACAAAAACAGAATAAAATGAATTATGCCGTGCTAGTGGCTGGAGAAAGAGTATTCTGGGCAGAACTATCTCCCTGTCTGTCACCCAAGCTGAAAACGTGGACATTATCCTTAAGCTCCCATAGGCCATGCAGCTCATCTGTGACGAAACCTCATTAATTCTACCTATAAATGCATCTCAAGAACAAATGAAACAAATCAAACCTACAAACTCTTTCAAGTCCAACCTCTCCATTTCTTCTGTTAGATTCAGAGTTGGCTCACTTATACCCTCAAAAAGATGCAGCCATATCCTAACCCCAGAACCTGTGGCTGTGACCTCACTGGAAAAGGGTTCTTTACATATGTAGTGAAGGGTCTCATGGTAAAACCACCCGGTATGACCAGGGTGGGCCTTAAATCTAATGACAAATGTCCTGATAAGAGGCAGGAGAGAATATAGCGAGAAAAAAAAGAGAGAGAGAGAGAGACCAAGGAAAGACAGAAGCCGAGATTAACATTCTGCTACCACAAGCCAAGGAGTGCCTGGAGTGACAGAAGAGCCTTCCTGCTGTGTGTGGCCCTGCTGGTACCGTGATCTGGGATTCTGACCCCCAGAGCTGTGAGACAATACATTTCTGATGTCTAAGTGCGTTTGTGGTCATTTGTACGGCAGTCCGAGGAAACTCGTATAAGGCCCTTAGACACCACACCACCGCTGGCCCCCTTGGCTGTTTCTAGGTTTAAATATACACTTACCATGGGACAGCCCCATGCCCTGGTGGCTAAAGGAGCCATATCCCACATAGCTGACCACACAATTTGTATCCTGTATCTGGTGGTTTGAAAAACATGCCAGATACACGTGTGTGTGTGCCCCAAATCCTGACACGGTGGAGAAATGGAGAAGAGGAGATTGCAGCATGACCACGCTCCATGCAGAGTGCTCACTCGCTCGCCCTGTCTCTCTCACACACTCTCTGGCAAAGTGAAAAAGAATACACATATACCTGTGTGCGTGTGCTATCCATCCTTCCCTATCTCCTAAGACTGTGTTGCCCACCCTCTCATCTACCTCTTAAGGCGCGCGTCACTCAATGTCCTAACTTTTGTTTGTTTGTTTTTGCCAGTTGGGCTTCACTTCTCAGCCAGAAGTGCTTTGTGGAAAGATCTAAACTTATCCACGGTGAGATACAGAGAGGACGGAGATCCTGAGATCCAGAGCCAAGACTCTGGCTTGCCCGACCCTGCACAATGACCCCTGTGTCTCCCACAGTCGGGAAGCCTGACACTTTGCATTTTACTTCCAAGAGAGAGCTAAGAAGAGGGAGGGTAATGAAAACCCCTCAGAAGGCACCTTCCCTGAGGAGGTGGGCAGAGCCCATTGGGAAGAGGTCAAAGGTCAATGCTGCTCCTTACCCAGGGAATCCAAGGCACATCTGCCTAGCTGGCTTAAAATCTTTTTTTTTTTTTTAAAGAACTATTTTATTTAACTTTATTTATTATTATTATTGTTGTTGTTTTATTTGACCAAAGACGGAGAAACAGAGAGAGAGAAAATGAGAAAACAAGCTGCCATGTCCAGAACTCAAACTACAGCCAGCCATGTGAGAGTCTGCATCTTTAACCACCATGCCACCTGCCGGCCCTGGCTTAAAACCATTCTTAAAAGGAATTGCCAAACACTGTCTTTTACAGAAATGGCTACAAAAGGAAATAAAAAGAACATTTAGGGTTCTTACCTTACTTTCAGTAAGCGGGGGCTGTATTCCCCTTTCTTCTGTTACAGTCTTAAAGAAAGACAAGACAAGATAAGGTGTTATCTTTGTATTTTTTAAAAGAATTATTTATTTAATTTTATTTATTATCATCATTATTTATTTTTAATTTGACCATAGAGACTGGGACTTGAACCACAGTCAGTCATGTGGGAGTCCATTGCCCTAACCACCATGACTGCTGTGGAGCCCATCTTTGTATCTTATAAAATACAAAGGCATCTTAGTGACTTGCACTTTTAACACGTTGATGCTCATAACTAATTAATCATATTCAGAAACCGAAAGTAGTAGAATTCACTTGAAATGTCTAAGCATATTGTAGCACAATGAACAATTTTCTGGACAAAGCACAGCAGTGCTCAGAAGTGTCGACGCACGAACTGAGTCGCATAAACACTTCTTGTGTTTGTACATGTGCTGGGCATTGTGGTAGGAGCTGGAGATTCAAAAATGAAAACCAACAGTGGCTGAGCCCTCAGGGAGCCCACAGTCCACTAGGGAAAACAGCAGGTCTGGAGCAGCGCCACAGGAACACAGGAGGTCTGCTCCCTGCAGAGCAACGAGCCCAACAGGTCCCCAAGATTGCAGGATGCAGTGCTTCCCAGCATAGAGGGGACATGGCCACCACACAACGACCAGCTCTCAGTGGGGGCTGGGAAGGGATGAGCTAGCATCCCGCCCTTTCAGAATTCTCTTGCCTCACAAATTTGGAAAGCTGCTGCCAATCCAGAGAAGAGCCTATGTAATTTTTTTTTTTTCATGACAATAGCTGAAGGGATAGGAAGAATGTAGTAAATTGTTTGCAAAAACAGCCACAGTCTTTCTCCCTGTACCCATGCTTCTACAGTCTCCTCCCACCGCAGCTCCGGAATTGGCCTTGCACTTGCTCTGGCCAATAGGACAACAGCAACGTGATGCAAGCAGAGGCTTGAAAAAGGCTTGTGCTGGGCAAGCCAGAGGCCTGGTAGTTAAGGCGGCTTGCTCGCACATGGCTGGCTGTGCAGCTCAAGCCCCAGGCCCAGTGGCCTGAAAAGCACACAAGGTATGTGTGTGTATGTGTACCGCAAATCCTGAGGAGAAAGGGTTATGGCATGGCCATTCCCCCTGTGGAGTGATTTCTCACTTTCCCTCTCTCCCTGTGTGTCTGGCAAGCACATGTACCTTACAGCAAAAACTAAAAAAGAAAGAGAAACATGCTTATGCCTTGGGGGTTGCCAGGTCTTGCTACTCTTGGGATCTGGCAACGCCCACCATGCAAATGAGCCCCAGGTAGTCTGCTGGAAGGTGACACATGGCCCAGGTACGGTCCTCACTCCTTCCCATAGCCAGGCAACCACCAAACAAGTAAGAGAAGCCACAGACCTACACTGACTGCAACACCCGCGGGAAAAATCTTGTGCTGGGCAAGCCAGAGGCCTGGTAGTTAAGGCGGCTTGCTCGCACATGGCTGGCTGTGCAGCTCAAGCCCCAGGCCCAGTGGCCTGAAAAGCACACAAGGTATGTGTGTGTATGTGTACCGCAAATCCTGAGGAGAAAGGGTTATGGCATGGCCATTCCCCCTGTGGAGTGATTTCTCACTTTCCCTCTCTCCCTGTGTGTCTGGCAAGCACATGTACCTTACAGCAAAAACTAAAAAAGAAAGAGAAACATGCTTATGCCTTGGGGGTTGCCAGGTCTTGCTACTCTTGGGATCTGGCAACGCCCACCATGCAAATGAGCCCCAGGTAGTCTGCTGGAAGGTGACACATGGCCCAGGTACGGTCCTCACTCCTTCCCATAGCCAGGCAACCACCAAACAAGTAAGAGAAGCCACAGACCTACACTGACTGCAACACCCGAGGGAGCCCCGCTGACAGCAGGGGGGACAGAGAAGAGTTGTCCCAGCTGAGCTCAGTCTCAACTGCCAAGTCACAGGACGGTGAGTCAAGGAAGGATTCTAGTTGTAAGCTACTAAGTGGTGAGGCGATTTCTTACCCAGCAAAAGCCAGCTGATACAGAGGGAGATTTCAAGTAGGAAGCAGAAAAGATAGGGCATAAATGTCTTGGAATTACCTTCCTTCCTCCGCCAATATCCCCAAATTCAAATCAGGCAAGCTGGCCTATTTAGATGTTTGGCTTTCTGATGGCTGGAATACTTCATGAAAAAAAGGGAAATGCACTATTGGAGGTAAACTGAGGCTGGAACTTCAAGACAGGTGAGTACCAGTCCTCCTGCCTAAAGGACATATGGGTGAAGCTGGCTGGAGCTGGAAACTGAGCTGTCACCTGCCACTGGGCACAGGAAAGAATGACCTAAAAAGCATAGAGTTGATAAGCACCCCAACAGCAGAGGTTGCCAGGGAGGGCTTGGGGAGTGGCATAAAATTGCTCAGTGGTGGGCTCAAGTCACACCTCCAGACATGAGAGTTTAGAGACCTTTGCGTGGCCAGCCTACCTGCTTTGGAACCCAAAATGACCAAATAAGTTTTGTCCAGTGAAGGGAAGGCCAGTCAGACAAATTAGAGCCTGCTCCCACCTTCCCACCCTGCACCAGCATGGGATGCAGTGGGTCCTGGTTCCAACAAATCCCTGGGCTGCTGGAGACAGACCTTCTGGGGCCCTAGGCCAGAATAGACAGCCCAAACCTAAGTACATTGGTCCCACCAGGGACTCCAAAGGACTCTGCTCTTAACTTGGACTGTGATGGTCAATCTCCATTCACTCTGCAGTTGTCTCTGCAGCTTCAACGAAAAGAGAAATCAGGAAGGGGAAAACAGAACCAATAAAACCGAGGCCCTTCTCGACCCCTTATCCACATGTGGTAACAACCTGTCAAGTGCCTCCTGTCAAAGGGCATGGACCCAGAAAGCACAGCATCGATGGCAGTTGGTGAGTGAGAAGGGAAGGAACCTGGGGTGACAGGGCACAGAGCAGCCTCTATCGGGAAGGAGACTGAGGTTCCTGGGAGGTTGCACAGCTGGTCCCCGTAAGAATCGGGGGTGACCCAGGGATGTATCTCCCTGGAGAGCAGAAACGATCTTTTCAGACTTCGGGTTCTGCCTCACATAAAGTAAGTCACCAATAAATCTTTGCTTTTTGTGAGCTGAAAAACACCTTCTCTGGGTAAGTCCCAAATCAAAGAAGCTCCACAGAAATCTTAGGCAAGATAGAGAAGCTAAAAAACAAGGCATCACACTGACAGCCCAAGTGACCAGAAGCTTCTAAGCAAGTTTTCCACACACCCAATGCCCAAATCATCTAGGCTTACACCAATCCTTCCATGGGTCACACTTCTTGCTGAAAGGGTGCCAATGAAGCCTTGCAGGTACTTAGAGCCTATCTAAGAATTGTAATTTCTTCTTCTTCTTTTTAAATTTTTGCTAGAGGATATGTGTGCTCACCAAAGAGAGAGGGAGAAGGAGAAAGCACACACACCCCCAGTGGGGCATGGTCATGCCACAATCTCTTCTCCTCTATTTCTTCACCCTGTCAGAATTCAGGGTATGCATGTACATGTGTGTGTTTCTTAAAGAGTTGTTTTTGGGTTTGTTTTTGTTTTTGTTTTTTTTGCTATAGGCCACAGGTGCCCACCAGAGAGACAGAAAGAGAAAAATCACCCCCCAGAGAGGATGGCCACAATCCCTTCTCCTCCATTCTCCTCTCGGGATTTTCGGCATGCACGCACACGTGCCTGGCATGAGTTTCAAGCCCCCGTTCCAGAACTCAAACCACAGTCAGCCATGTGGGAATCCAGTGACACAACCATTAACACCATCTGCTGGTCCCAGCCTGGTGTGTTTTTTAAGCCATCAGGGCTGGTGTTTAAACTGCGGTCGGTCATATGGGACACAGCTGCCTTAGCCACCAGGCCACAGGCCAGTCCACAATTGATTCCTATTTAAGTGGAGAATGCAGAATCAGATGATCAGATTGCCACGTGGGTTCTGTGATACTATCAGAAATCTGGTAGTATGTGATAACAGTCGTGATTGGAATGAATGATTTTACAGAAAGAACTAACCAAACGAACTAGGATTTCATTTCTATCTTGGTATGAACACAAGGGGACTTCAAAAGTTCATCAAAAATAAAACCATGCACTTTTTTGGTGCAAAACATTTTGAAATCCGTGTGTAGTTTTTTCATAAGATGTATTTTCCATGATCTTTTTGAAGATCCTGTGTAGATCAAATTGGATTTTCCTGATGTGATTCATAATTACTATAAACAAAAGGAAAATTTTTTTAAAAAGATAAAGGATTATGGGGCCAGCAGGTGACATGGTGGTTAAAGACGCTGGACACCCACATGATCGACTGCAGTTCAAGTCCCAGACCTGGTGGCTTGCTTTCTCACTTTCCCTATCTCTCTCTGCCTCTCTCTAATCAAACTGGAAAATAATAATATTAAATAAAGTTAAATAAAATAATTCTTTGAAGAAAAAAATATTAAAAAGACTTTGGTGGGGCTGGTAGGTGGCATGGTGGTTAAGAGTGCTAGACTCCCACATGGCCAACCATGGTTTGAGTTCCAGGCCTGACAGCTTGTTTTCTCACTTTCCCTCTCTCTCTCTTTCTCTCTCTGGTCGAATTAAAATTAATTAATTAATTAATTAAAGTTTAATAAAATAATTCTTTAAAATAAAAAAAAAGAGTATGGCAATAGTATAAAATACTGTCTGGGAGCATAAGGGAAAGAAATTGCACAGACCACACAATTTGGGGCCCTGCCTTAGCCTAAGAGTGGGAATTCAACATTGAGAGTACATTACTAAACTTGGGACAACTCAAAATGTATCCGTCCCTAGGAAAATGTGGTTGAAACAGCATCCCTCACTTTCAGCTGAGTTTTCTGTGGAGGTAGTAAGAGCTCTGTCTTGAGTCAGAGAGAGCTGAGTTTATGTCCAGAATCTGCCACTGGCCAGCTGTCCAAACTTGAGCAAGTAATTTAAGCTTTCCAAGCCTAGTCGCCCTCCTGTGAACTGGAATGATTCCTACTTCAGTGGGCCTCTGTGAACACTGAAGGAGGCCATGCAAAGTGAAGTGGTGGGCACAGAGTAATTGCTTGGTCAATGGCAACAGTCATAGGAAAGATCATCCACTGATCAGGACAGGGCAGTGAGACCTGCACCTTTCCCTAGAGGGGGCAAACCAGTTCCCAACTCTTGGGTTCCCACGTGGGTCTAAGACCCAGAGCTGTGTTCCTTTCTCTGGACTCTACGTGCCACAGAGGACCAATCCCAGCCCCATAGACTGACACTGAACTCTGGGAGCCAGTGCCCAGCCCTGCTGACTGCCACATGGCGTCTGTGACACTGGCTGCTTTGTGCCACCTCTCCAAGGCTGGTCTGGCCTACTTTATGCTCTCAGTGGCATTCTGCCTGGAGCTGGCAAAGCCAGGCAGGGCACAGGAAAGGAATGGTGGAGACCGTGAGAGGTGGCAGTGACATCCTAAGCAAACCTCCTGGTTTAGAAGTGTTCTTCCTGTCCCAGAGCAGGCAATGTGTTTTTGTTTTTGTTTTGCCTTTTTTTTTGCCTTTTGACCTTGTTGAAAGATAAAAGAGGAGAAAAGGAAGAGGTGCGGGGTGCCCATGGCCAGGAGGGGCCTGATTTATGTATTCAGCGGCCTGCTCTCCCCACTGTAAACCAAGCAGGCACGTCGGGTTCTGCAAAGAAGAACGACAGAGAGCTGCTGCTTGGCTGCTAGAAACAAGACGGAATTCAATTCTCCCAAGCTCCTTGAGGCAGGAAGGATGTGTTTGGCCTGGACTTGGCAAAGCCTCTTCTCAAAGAGGATGAAGGGGGCTTTGAAAACCACTCCTGGAGGACCAGGGCAAGTCGCTGGCTCTGGGCTGGGCATGCTGAGCCTCTTGCCTTCAGTCTAAAGCAGCTCTGTGATGCTAATCCAGCAGCTAATTGGTCACCGGAGGGCTGACCAGGAGGAGTATTCACAGAGTAAACAGGCCAGGCCACTACAGAGAGAGTTCTGGTCCCCAGGGCATGCCATAAGTGCAAAAGTGCCAGCCCTGTTTGTCATTGGTCTTGAACCTTGCTGTGCCTCAGTTTCCCAAGCCATGAAAGGGAACAACTGTGGTCTTTGCTCTGGAAGGGCCCATCTGCAGTCTATGTTCATTCAAAATGAGCCAGCTGCTCAGAAAAACAATCTGCCCTGTGATCATTTCCAGGGTTTGTTTCGACATGTGGGGGAGAAGCAAAGCTCTCTCTAGGACACATGAATGGGCTTCTGCTCTTACCTGGCAACATGAAATTCAGCCAGGGGGCCTTCTTTTTGAGACCCACAGATGGTGTAATGGTTATATCACTGGAATCCCCCACATGGCCAACCATAGTTTGAGTCCAGGACCCGGTGGCTTTCACACTGGGCGCATGTGCACACGTGCCCAAGATTCCAAGAGGAGATTTGAGGAGAAGGGATTGTGGTGTGGTCATTCACCCAGAAGGTGATTTCTCACTTTCTGTCTCTCTGTCTCTCTCTGTCTTCCCAGCGAGTGCACATGCCCTATAGCAAAAACCTCTGAGAAAAAAAAAAGAAAGAAAGAAAGGCAAGTCCTACCAACAACACACTCATGCCTTCTCAGCGTAACTGGCCAGGATGCAATTAGCAGGGTAGGGGTGAAGGTGATTATTAGGGCCGTTCCTGGTAAGGACCTACATGGCACAGGGGAGACTTGGCCTGCACCCAGAGTTAGAGATCCAGTCTGAGGGGCTCCGGCCTTGCCCCAGGACACGCTCCTGCTCTGCTCTTGGTCTGGGTTTTCCTTCCCTCTGCTGGACTCCAGCATAGCTGACCGGGCTGAGCAGGCCACGGTATATGTGACCTTCTGAGAAGCCAGAAAAAAACTGAGGGTGAGCTCACACATGCTCGCTGGCAGTCCTGTCCCATGGCGGGAGGGGTGCTCGCGGTGCTCAAGGCTTTTCTTGTTCTTGTCTACTCCCAGCAGCAGGGTCTTGAGCGCCTAGAGAAACACAGAGTTCAAAGAAGGTTGAGTCAGGGTCTTGGTGGCCTTGTTCCTGTCTTCACCAGTTGGACACTACACATCCTGACCCTGAGGGAAAACCCAGGAAATATGTCACAAGGTTTCTGGCAGGAGATTATGCTAGAACAACCTCCTCTGTTTATGAATAAGTCTGAAGAAAGAGTCATACTTTGAGAAGGAAAGCCAATAGAAATGGAAATTAGCCAAGATAACTTCAAAAGCCAAAAATTTCAAAAGTGTTCTCTTCATCACTGTCTTCTTTTCTGTACGTTTCTAATTTAAGCAGGGTAGGGATTATCTCCCAGTAAAACTTAACTATTTTTCTAATTATAATAACAACGCATAGTCATCATGAAAAAAGAAAGTCAAGTGGTTTAAAAATTAAAAATGTTGGAGGCTGGCAGGTGATGTGGCAGTTAGAATGGCTGGACTCCCACATGGCTGACCACAGTTCGAGTTCCGGACCTGGTAACCTGCTTTCTTACTTTCCTTCTCTCTCTCAGGTCAACTTAAAAAAAAAACATAAAATAAAATAATGACAATGAATAAAATTTTTAAAATATAAATAAAATAAAAATAAAAAATGTTTACTTCTGGGCAGCAGGTGGCTTTGTGATTTAGGCGTTGAATCCCACCTGGCTGACTCTGTGATTCAAGTCCCAGACCCACTGGCTTGAGAATCATGCCAGGCACATGTGTGTGTGACCAAAATCCCAAGAGGAGAATGGAGAATAAGAAATTCTAGCATGGCCCTGGGTTTGCTTTAAAAAAAAAAAAAAAAAGTTTACTTAATTATTTCTTTCCTGAGAGAAGGAGATGGGGGTTGAGTTTGACCCCTCCCCAGTAGGGTCCTTACATTGCAATCCATCCCTAGACTCCATGAGCCAGGATTACAAACATGACCTTGACCAGTGACCCTGGGACATTTCTGCATGGCTTTAATGTCAAAGAGCATTTGAGTGATGGCTACAGTACTGCAGCTGGCCAGGCAGCTTGGTTTGAAGCCCTACTTAGCCACTTAATAGCTTTGACTTGTGAAAAGTTACTTAATTTGCCTGAACCTCAGTTTCTCTGTCTATAAAATAGAGCTAGTAAGTACGCTTATACTATTATGATTGCTGCCTGATTAGTAATCTTACAGAAATTGGAAATAATTGTGAAAGGAAAAAAGGCTTTTATTAAGAGTCTAATTGTAGGTACAGCGTATTTGGAGGAGGTTTAAAGCAGTTAAAGTTCCTTGGGAAGGGACCAGCAGTTAGCGTAATGCCTATGTCGCTGGACTCCCACGTAGTCAACCGCGGTTCGCATCCTGGACCCGGTGGCTTAAACTCACGCCAGGCACGAGTACGTGTGTGCCCAAGATCCCGAGAGGAGAATGGAGGAGAAGGGATTGCGGTGTGGCCATCCCCCCTGGGGGGTGATTTCCTGCTTTCTGTCTCTGTCTCTGTCTGTCTGAGGAACGCACATGCCCTATAGCAAAAACCTCTCAAAAAAAAAAAAGAAAGTTCCTTGGGAAGAGCATAATTTATTGTGAGCACAATTTATTGTGGTGAGGGAAGACTTTAGAACTTTTATTTGCGACTTTGAAAATCTCGCCCTATAGTTTTTAAGGCCATTCTACATAATGTACACATTATTTTAGTGTATTACTAAATGTATATAATGTTTTCTTAAATTTTTAGAACAATTTATTAGTATTATTATTCAATTTGACCAAAGAGAGACAGAGAGAGAGTGCGAAGGCAAGCTGCCAGATCTGGGACTTGAACTATGGTCAGCCACATGGAAGTCCAGCGCCTTAACCCTCACACCACCTGCCAGCCCCAAATGTATATAATTTTTTTAAAAAATTGAGAAAAACTCACATACTGGAAGCTTCACCCTTTAAAGCACATAAGGCAGCAGGTTTCAGTGCAGCCACAAGGTTGGGCAACCATCACCACTCTCTGATTCCAGAACCCACCAGCAGTCACTCCTCTTCTGGTCTACACCAGGCCCTAGCAACCACTGACTCACTGTGTCTGTGGATTTGCCTATTCTGACCAGTTCAAGTGAAAGGAATTGTAAATGCATATAATTTCAACATAATTAAGACACGCATGTAGGACGATGTCTGCAAAGGTAGCGTACTGACGAGGTGTGTGGCCAAGGAGGTTCAAAGACCCTGGCTAAGGGTGGAAACTTTAAGTTTGTTCCGATTTCTCTATTGGCTTCCTCTGTGGACCCCTGAAAAGCGCTCTAGGGTCTATCAGCCTGTGCTAATGAAATCCACTGGCTGGCATAGTCCGAAGAGAAATATGAACAAGACATAAAAAGACATTCTCCTAATTATGTTAGCAGGCTTACAAATTCCACAAATTCCTCATGCCTCTCACCTTCCTCCCTGATAACACTGCTCGGGCCATCGGAGCACCTTACAGAGAATCAGGGTTGCACCTTTCCATTGGTGTTTATTTCCTCAAAGCCCAGAAAAGACTGTGCTGCCATCTGCTTTCCTCTTTCACGGCTTACTGCTGTCACCCAGGAGACCAGAGCAGGGGGAAGGAAGGAAACTTTGGGGCTCGCCCAAGACATTCAGTCTGGAGGACATTCAAAGCAGCGTTGCTTTTTGCCAACAGACTGCTTGGTCTAGAGATCGTGTAGAAATCAATGACATTTCCACTGGCCCACCACGCGGGACTGGCCAGCATATACCCAGTGGTTCCATCGCGCACACACACCCACTCCATTCTGGCAGCTGGCACGTCACCACCACTCCCTAGCCTGGGTGCACCCCCTTCCTCAGTAACTAAAGCATCAGTGTAAACCCAGTGCTGTCCTTCCCCCAAGTGCTCACACGGGACCATCATAGCATGGTTTCAAGTTGGATACTTCACTCTTTTTTTCCTTTTTTTTGGAGAGGTTTTTGCTATAGGTTGTGTGCTCTCACCAGAAAGATAGAGAGACAGAAAGCAAGAAATCACCCCCCAGGGGGGATGGCCATGCCACAATCCCTTCTCCTCCATTCTCTTGGGATCTTGAGCATGCACGCACATGTGCCCAGAGTGAGTTTAAGCCACCTGGTCCAGGACTCGAACCGCAGTTGACCAGTGACATAGCCATTACACCAACTGCTGGTCTAGATACTTCACTTTTTTAAAAAAAAAGAATAATTTATTTATTTAATTACATTTGTTATTATTTTTTAATTTGACCAGAGAGAGAGAGAAAGGGAAAGGGAGAAAGCAAACTGCCAGGTCTGAGACTCAAACCCCAGTCAGCCATGTGGGAATCCAGTGCCTTTAACCTCTATGCCACTTGCTGGCCCCATACTTCTCATGTCATTTGCCTAAATTTAAGGATCCTGATATTTCAGCATTTTAATAACAAACAATTAATTTACTCGTTGCTAATGGCCGGATTCCTCGTTCCTTTCCAGTTACACTTTCTTTGGCTCCTTTTTTTTTTTTTTTTTTTTTTTTGGGGTGTTGTCAATTCGGGAGAGGCACAGACAGACAGCGAGACAGAGAGAGAGAGAAAGCAAGAAATCACCTCCCAGAGGGGATGGCCACGCCGCAATCCCTTTTCCTCCATTCTCCTCTCGGGATCTTGAGCACGCACACACACGCGCCAGGTGTGAGAGTTTTAAGCCACCAGGTCCGGGATGCGAACCGCGGTCGACTACAAGGAAGTCCAGCGACATAGCCATTACGCTAACTGCTGGTCCCTCCTTCTTTTCTTTTTATTGCCAGAGGGCATGAGCAGAGAAAGAGAGAGAGAAAGCCCCCTCCCTGGGCGTGGTCACACTACAATTCCTTCTCCATTTTTCTGTCCTATCAGGATTTGGAGTATGCGTGGCCATGCATCTGGCATGTTTTTTAAGCTGCCAGGGCTAGAATTCGAACCACTCAACCGGCCACGTGTGATCTGGCTCCCTTAACCACTAGCTACAGGGCTGGTTCCAGTGATGCTCCCTTTGTCTTACTTATCCTAGCCTCCTTTTCAGAAAGGACGCACCCCCTATACAACGGATTTCTCAGACTGCCTTTAAGCAATTCGTTTCACAGATGAGGAAACTGAGGCTCAAATAGGGCAAGTAACATCCCAAGGTCACACAGATAATAGATAGCAAAGCTGAGATTTGAGATCAGCCTGGTTCCAGCTCCTGATTTTTTTTTTTAATTGAAATTTTTGCTATAGGGCACATGAACTCACCAGAGAGAGAGAGAGAGAAAGAGAGAGTGAGGAATCACCCCCGGGGAGGTAGGGGGAAATGGCCACACCACAGTCCCTTCTCCTCCATTCTCCTCTTGGGATTTTGGGCATGCATGCACACGTGCCAGGCATGAGTTTCAAGCCACTGGGTCCAGGACTTGAACCACAGTCAACCATGTGAAAGTCCAGCACCTTAATTACCATGCCCGTTCTTAATCACTGTGCTATGTGGTCCCTCAAGAGCATAGTGTCAGTTCAGAAACCGGGGGTAGTAAAGAAGGGCAACTGTGTACTCAGGGGAGAGAGACATTTTGTAATTTATCAAGCTGTGATAACTACCAACACAGCATTCGCCTTTAAAAGATGATAAATGACATTAGCCCACTCACTTCAAAGTAAAAACTTGACTGTAGTGAGGTCTGGTCCAGTTACAAACTACTGCGTAACTCTGGGAAAGTGTTCGCCCGTCTCTGGGCCTCATTAGTAAAATAAGTGGGTTTCGACTCTAAGATCTGCGCTTTGAGATCCTGGGGCTTGGATATCCCTTCATTCGCCTTACATCATGGAGAAGGACAGGACGCTACTTAGACAAAAGGCCAGAGAAGTCTTACTTTTTTGGGGGGAGTAAGAACTCCCTGGTTGCCTGCCCCAGCCCAGGCCACCCACCACTTGCCTTGGGAAGATTCGGGACACCTCTGCTGGCTCTTCACTTGGGTTCACTCTCATTTTTCTAAAAGGACAACATATGCTGCCCTTGCAATCCAACTGTGGATTCTTGGC